ACTTATTGATGATGATCAAATATGGATTTCTCCTCAACATAAAGAAAACAAAAATTCTTACAACTGGACCAATAAGCAACATCCTGATAAACAGAGAAAGTATTGAAGTTGTCATACTTCAGTCCACAGTCAACACCCATGGAAACAGCAGTCAAATCAAATGATGTATTACATTGGGAAATCTGCTACAAAAGACCTCTTTTAAAGTGTTGAAGAGCAAAGATGTTACTTTGAAGACTAAGTTGTACCTGACCCAGGCCATGCTATTTTCAACTGTCTAATACATGCGAAAGCTAGAAAATTAATAAGGAAGACCAAAGAAGAATTGATGCATTTGAATTGTGTTGGTGAGAAATATTGAACATACCATGGCCTGCCAGAAGAACAAACAAATCTGTCTTACAAGAAGTACAACCAGAATGATCCTTAGAATTGAGGATGGTGACACTTCATCTCACAGACTTTGGACATGTTATCAGGAGGGACCAGTCCCTGGAGAAGGACACTGTGGTTGTTAAGTTTGTGTGTCAACGTGGCTGGGCCTGGTTGAGTAGCTGGGCAGCTGAATGTAGTTATTCTCCATGGTGAGACTGGTAGTTAACTCCATGGTGGAATCTGTTGGAGCAGCTGAGTAGCTGCTTTGGGTATGTGGTCTTCTTCCTGTATATAAGAAACAGCTTTGGGAATGGTCTTTAGCTTATGGAATGCTTGAACCCTCCATGTAGTCATGTCATTGTTCAGCAACCTGCTATGCTCTGCTGACCTTGGGACTTTCAATGGACTTGAATTAATGGCCTGCCGTGTGGTTTGGTAACATCGGGACAGTGCCTTTTTACTTGTCAACCTTGGGTTTGTCAGCCTTAGCAGCCAGCTGTCTGCATGAAGAAAAGCCTCCAGCTTCAGTGGACTGGGAGCAGGAGGCAGAGCTAAAGCCCAAGGTTGAGGGGCTTTCACCCAGCCCCTAGAGCCTGGCACTTTGAACTCAGATGTAAAGCCTCCAAATTGTAAGAATAAACTTGTTTGTTAAGGCCATCCCATTTGTGGTATATTCTTGTCAGAGTGACAGTAGGTAACCAAAACAGACGCCATGCTTGGTAAAGTAGAGGGTCAGTAGAAAAAGAGGAAGACCCTCAACCAGATGGATTGGCACAGTGGCTGCAGCAATGAGTTCAGATGTAGCAATAATTGTGGTAATGGTGCAGGACTGGTCAGTGTTTCATTCTGTTGTACATCAAGTCACTGTGAGTTGGAACAACAAAAAAAATTTAGGGTCACAACAGACCAGAATTTCTTACTTGGGAAAATGTATTGCTTATCTTCAAGAATAAAGGCTATAGATTATAGATATTCATAAGAGAATGTTTAACTGTTTGTTTCTGTTTTTTTTTTTTTTACCAAAACTGTTTTCATTAGCAGTACTTTTATAATAAACTGACTTTCAGTAGTTTTCTTTTTCCACATCACAAAAACGCTTTCATTTTTCTTCTTTGTCAGTCCAGCTCATTCTCTAAAAAGATTAAACATTTTTGAAGATTAAGATTCTTCACCATGTTATATTTGGCATATATACAGTATTGACATTTCATGTAAAGAATAAATTACAGCTGAAGATTTTAATTTTGATAAGTATAGACTAAAGTTTATAAATTTTACCATTATAAAAGCAATTCTGTAGAGGGAATATTTACAGTTACACTTCAGTATTTTCCATTGGAGAGTACTATTTGGTATAAACATCATATGCCAAAGAAGTATAATCTTTTGTTGTACATTTCCTTTCTGGCTATTTGAAGACATTAATATGAGTCAGATGGGACTTGTTTATTTTACCTAAACTGAAGCTTTCAGTTACAGTTAAGTTGTTCTTCAAATTTATAAAGCAGAATCATTTGATAAAAGTAGTTGAAATAGTTCATTTATTCCACACTTATTAAGCACCTATTTTGTGCCTGTGTGTACTGAGAGATGAAAGAATTTGTAGTGAATTGTATTTGAGAGCAGACTATGTGAAAATAAAAACAATTATTAACCTTAATCAACAATAATAAAATACAGAGAAATAGATGAGTGGATGGATGGACAGACAGATAGATGACTTCTCTTTGTTCTCAACTCAATGGTAAAAATCAGTTTTATAGCCAAAGGAATACATGTGTTTTCACCAAAAAGTAATTCATATTGACATAGAAATTCAAGCAATAAAAAAAGTATGAGAGGAAAAGTAAAAAATCACCCAAATCCTGTTTAACATTTCAGTGAGCATCTTTACAGATATGTCTTTAAGCACTTCGCATACACAAAGATATTTGTTTAGAATTCTAAATTAACTAAGTCATATTATATGTGCTTTTATAAATGACTCTGCTTAATCTATCATATATGAATTCATTTAACTGCCTATTTGCTAATAGATGTTTGTTTTGGTCCTCTAGTGCCACTCTAACAGAAAACCATAAATAAGATGGCTTGAACAAACAAGGATTAATTGTCTTTCAGTTTAGGAGGCTAGAAGTCTGAGTTCAAAGTGCAGAGCTCTAGGGGCTGGGTGAAGGCTCCTCAACCTTGGGCTTCAGCTCTGCCTCTTGGTCCCATCTCACTAAAGCTGGAAGCTTCTCTTCATTCAAGCAGCTGCTGACCACTGAGGCAGACAAACTCAAGGTCAACAAATAAAATGACACAGTCTCACGATTACCAAACAACATGGCAGGCCATTACTACAAGTCCAGAAACAGTCCCAAGAGCAGCAGGAAACATGGCAGGCTGCTGAACGAAGACTCAGCTACATGCTGGGTCCAACCAGAGACCTTTCTCAATGCTTCTTCTTATATATTGGAAGCAGACTACATCACTAAGCCAGCTACTTAGCTGTTCCAGTAGATTCGACCACAGAACTGATTACCAGTCTCATCATAGGAATAATATCCAGTTGCCCTGCTACTCAAAACCAGTGATAGCCAAGTTGACACATAACCTTAACTACTACACTGTTAAAATTGTATTTCATCTTTACCAGTTGTAAAGAATTTTCCCATGAGAAAACTGTGTGTGTATGTGTGTGACTTTTTATATTTGTGCATTTTATCTTCACAGGTTCGTTGCCTAGATACAGGATTGTTTCTTTCAGATTTCTTGACACTATTTTTTAAATAATAAATCTTCCCTATACTGATTCACATGAGGCACTTGACTGCTAACCAGAAGGCTGCCAGTTCAAACCCACCAGCCACTCCTCGGTAGGAAGGTTGGGCAATCTACTCCCATAGTGATACTGCCTTGGAAACCCAAGGAGGGGTCGTTATGAGGCGGGTCCAACTGAACGGCAAACAACAACAACAACAACAACAATGCTGATTCTCAGTGCCACCTTGATCATTTACTAGATTACATATATCTTACTACTCTGATCCCTCTGGATACCTACACAAATACCAAACTCTTTTGGTAATAACCATTGCTGTCAAGTCGATACCAACTCATAACAACCCTATACGACAGGGTAGAAGTTTCCCATAGGGTTTAAAGGCTGTAAATCTTTACAGAAGCAGGCCGTCATGTCTTTTTCCTGCCAAGTGGCTGGTTGGTTGCAACCATTGACCTTTCAGTTAGCAACAAAGTGGTTTAACCACTGTACTACCAGGGCTCCCTTTTTGATGATTAGAGCCTTTGAAATACCTTTTAATGCAAGAGATGTCTTTTATTTTGACATAAATAAACTGTGTATCTAGCTTTAAGATTGTATATACAAAGGTATAGCTAGAGGGCAGGGAATGGAGCCTTCTTTTTACAGGTCCAATAAAAGAAATCTGTAGCACTCCCTTCAGTATCACAGCCACTTTTTATAATCTTTCTAAGTATTTGAGGCACAGGTTATCTGTATCAATTTAAGAAGACATATTTGAGGGCTTTGTAGATGTACCCATAGTATAGATATGATCTCTACATGGGCCTCTATTAAGCCACACAACACATTTTTCTGTGCACATGTCAGTCAACATGTCTAACTTATATTATTATTACTCTATACATTTTCTATCAACATATCTATTAATAAAAAACAAAACCCACTGCCATCGAGTCAATTCTGACTCATAGAGACCCCCATTGGGATTCCAAGTCTGTCAATCTTTATGGAAGTAGATTGCCTTCTCTTCCTCCTACGGAGCAGCTGGTGGATTTGAACCAGCAACTTTCTGGTTAGCAGCCAAATGCCTTACCCACTATGCCACCAAAGCTCCTTATACCTATTAATAGATGAGGATTTAACTTTATCATACCACTACCTACTTCCTGTCTCTTAAATTCAGTTTCTAATACCATCAACCATAGATACCTTTTGGCTTCCCACTTTGAAAAATGTGGACATTAAGTTATTATTCCCCCTTTCTCTCTTCCTTCTTGTTTGCTTGTCAACTCTATCACTTGTACCTTTTCTTTTTGTTAAGGTTGATACTATTACATTCTCTTTGAGTGAGTGCAGTGGAGCCTTACTTTACTTGGGATTTTGTCTTCTCAGTGAAATCTTCTCTGGTCATCCTGTCTAAAATGACTACATCCCCCCCACACACCCACACAAACGTACACACATATGCACACATACTTCCCAGCTCCTCTTTCCCATACATGTTTCTCTTATCACTTTCTAGCATCCTGTGTTTCTGTAATTAATTTTGCTTATTACCTGCTCCCACTGGAATATAAACTCTATGAGGCCAGGAATTTTTTTCCCCTCACTGCTATATCCCCAGTATTTAGAACAGTGCCTGACACATAGTAGACTTTCAATAAGTCTTTGTTGAATCATTCAGTAATGTGAAATATTCACTATAGTGTTTTGAGTATATTATGATACTTTCATTTTAGGGCTCTGATTATATATAAATATATATGTACATATTTATTCAGATACTACTGGAACCTACTAAAAGTAAGGTTAATATTATAATTAATGGCATTTAAATATTATGTTGTCTAAAAGTATGTTAACATTTTTAAAAATTTAGGTTGACAGATTTGCAATGGAATTAGAACAGAGCCGGGATCTGAACAATACCATAGTACATATTGACATGGATGCTTTCTATGCCGCTGTAGAAATGAGAGACAATCCGGAACTTAAGAATAAACCCATTGCTGTAGGATCAATGAGCATGTTGGTAAGTAGGTAAAGATCAAAAACAAAGAGGAAATTTTGTAACATACTCAAATAAACCTTATTGATTCATGAAGGAGGCAGCCTTTATTGAGTTCAGCTAGTACTATGTATTTTTCTAAGTGCTTTATAAATCACTCATGCTTTGTATATGCTCAATATTTTCAACATCCTTTGAGGTACAACTTTTTATTTCTGTTAACAGATTAGTAAACAAACTCAGAGATGTTTAATAACTTACCTGGAAAATGGTAGATTGACATTGTATCTTTCTATTGCAAATTTGAACTTTTCTTAAATAACCATTCTAGTTAAAGTTGAAGAAAGAAAAGAAAATGTTATTCTAAGAATAAATTGTTAAACAATGGCCTGCAGGCAATTCTAGTCTGCTGCCTTTTTTTTGTTGTTTTTTGGTAAATAAAATTTATAGTAACACAATCATACCCATTCATTTATTATTACAGTTGCACTAAAGGAGTAGTTGGACAGACATTTATGACCTGCAAAGCTTAAAGTAGTAGTAGTATCTCTATCTTACAGAAAGGAACTGTTTACCAACCTTGGTCTACATTACATATTTTATTAATATAGTACATTTACATTGCAGTTAAGAAGTTTTTCCATAACTTAGAACCTTTCCTTTTCTGCATTTTCTATTCCAGAACACTCATTGAGGATTAGCATGGTTTTCAGTATTGTCAGTGTTTTAAAATATTTGAAAAACATTAATGGCAATTTGATAATACTATTCTGAAATAACTCATTCATTTGATACATTCAGTTTTGCATTTCTTCTGATTTCACCTGAGATTTCAAACAAGGATTCTGTCTGTGACATAGACTGTTGTCAGGTATCATCATCACGAGGATTTAATAAGTAATGTTCTCTTTTTTTTTTTTAATTGTCATAATTTTTTAGTTCCATCTCCCTGTCAGAATGTTTTCACCAAAGAAAGGTATTCAAGCCTTAAGAAATAAAGTATAATTTTTTAAAGTTCTGTTAAGCTTTAATCTCTTAATATTAGAGACTTAGTTAGCTGATCAACTTTGAGTTTTCAAAACTTTGAGTTTTTTTCCCCATGTGAAAAAGTAAAATCTCAAAACAGAGAAAATCCGAACTATACTTTATTAGAGACTTAGTTACTATTACACTTAATATTAAAGACTTAGTTGTTGTTGTTGTTGTTAAGTGCCGTCGAGTTTTTTCCGACTCATAGCGACCCCATGCACAGCAGAACGAAACACTGCCCGATCCCACGCCAGCCCCACAATCCCTGCTATACTTGAGCCCATCATCGCAGCCACCGTATCAATCCATCTCCTTGAAGGCCTCCCCCTCTTTCGTCGACCCTCCACCCTACCAAGCATGACATCCTTCTCCAGGGAATGGTCCCTTCTTACAACATGACCAAAATAGGTGAGACGAAGTCTGGCCATTCTTGCTTCCAAGGAGCATTCTGGCTGACTTCCTCCAGGACAGATCTGTTAGTTCTTTTAGCAGTTAGTTAGCTGATCATATATTCATATATTCAACCTCTGATTTTTTTTCCCATGTGAAAAAATTAGGAAAATCACGAACTGTACATTATTACTTTCATATAAAATTGCTCACTGTCCTGTCAGCCAACCTATGATATATACTATATTACATGTATGCATTAGAACTAATGAAATTGAGTTACTAGAAATGTAAGAGAACTCTTTTATTAGCACAGTCTTGCATATTACCTGGTATCACATCATAAATATGGGGGCAACAATGGGATAGGGTCTGTGGTATAATAATACTATGGTAAGATAAAGTCAAGGAGCTCTGGTAGCATAGTGCCTAAGGCACTTGACTGCTAACCAGAAGGCTGGTGGTTCAAACCCACCAGCCCCTCCTCGGAAGGAAGGTTGGGCTATCTACTTCTGTAGTGATACTACTGCCTTGGAAACCCAAGGAGGGGTCACTATGAGTCTTATCCGACTCTATGGCACATAACAACAACAACAACAGGATGAAGTCAAAGCTTAGGTTGAGACAATGCCTATAAAAGAAATGTGCTTGAATTGAAAAATGCACATCAGTAATGTGTCTCTTATGAATGCATCGATCAGTAAGTCCATTTAAGTTTATATATCCTTTCTCATGTGATCAATTTTCTTTCAGTCTACTTCAAATTACCATGCAAGGAGGTTTGGTGTCCGTGCAGCCATGCCAGGATTTATTGCTAAGAGACTCTGCCCACAACTTATTATAGTGCCCCCAAACTTTGACAAATACCGAGCTGTGAGTAAAGAGGTAAGTCTGATGCCTCATTCCCTATTTACAGCCTTTCATTAGTGTTCTTTCACCTACAGAGTCAAATCCAAATGCCTTAGCACATCCGGATGTGGCCTGAGCTTACCCGTTTAGTCTCACCTCACACCACCTCTTCAACTTGTGTGTTAAATACTGAAATGCATGTAGTATCCATTTTGTTTCCCTATTCTTTGCCTTTCCACACATTTTTCCATTTACTCCTATCTTCCCAAAAATCCCCACATTATATAAATTCCAATATGAACTAACTTTAACTATTTTTTGTTAATATGCAATATAAATTTTCTTCTATTATGTTTATAATTTTTAGGATCTAGTGGAGTTTATAATTTCAAGTTCTTTTCTAACTAATTTTTTATCAGGGTTTTTAAACAGTAACAAAAGTGTTTCTTAGCTTGCTTTGTCCCACAATCTGGTGAAGATGCTTATGAGCATTTAATGTTTAAGAAACTGATAAACAAAAGAGAAAGGAGGTAATCTGTTGCTTTGATAAGGATCTCTGAAGTACAAAGATTTGATTGTTATTGTTCTTGTTGTTGTTGTTGTTAGGTGCTGTCGAGTTGGTTGTGACTCATAGTGACCCTATGTACAACAGAATGAAACACTGCCTGGTCCCATGCCAACTTCACAATCCTTGCTATACCTGAGCCCATTGTAGCCACTGTGTCAGTCCATCTTGTTGAGGGGCTGCCTTTTTGTTGTTGTTGATCCTCCACTTTACTAAGCATGATATCCTTCTCCAGGGAATGGTTATTTCTGACAGCATGACCAAAGAAGGTCAGGCGAAGTCTGGCCATTCTCGCTTCCAAGGAGCATCCTGGCTGACTTTTTTGTTAGTTCTTCTGGCAGTCCATGGTACTTTCAGTATTCTTCGCCAACATCACAACTCAAAAGCATCAACTCTTCTTCAGTCTTCCTTATTCATTGTCCAGCTCTCACATGCATATGAGGCAATTGAAAATAGCATGGCTTGGGTTGTTTTTGTTGTTGTTGTTGTTTGCCGTCGAGTCGGACCTGACTCATAGCGACCCCTCCTTGGGTTTCCACGGCAGTATCACTACAGAAATAGATTGCCCAACCTTCCTTCCGAGGAGTGGCTGGTGGGTTTGAACTGCCAGCTTTGTGATTAGTAGTCAAGTGCCTTAAACACTATGCTACCAGAGCTCCTATGGCTTGGGTTAGGTGTACCTTAGTCTTCAAAGAGACATCTTTGGTCTTCAGCACTTGAAAGAGGTCTTTTGCAACAGATTTTCCCAGTGCAGTACATCATCTGATGTCTTGACTGCTGCTTCCATTGGTGTTGATTATGGAACCAAGTAAGATGAAATCTTTGACAACTTCAGTCTTTTCTCCATTTATTGTGATGCTGGTCCAGTTGTGAGGATTTTCGTTTTCTTTATGTTGAGATGAATCCATACTGCAGAGTATAGTCTTTAATCTTCATCAGCAAGTGTTTCAAGTCATCCTCACTTTCAGCAAGCAGAATTGTGTTGTCTGTATATGGCAGGTTGTTAATGGGCCCTCCTCCAGTCCTTTGCCATGTTCTTCATATAGTCCAGCTTCTCAGATTATTTGCTCAGCATATAGATTGAGTAAGTATGGTGAAAGGATACAACCCTGATGTACTCCCTTCCTGATTTTAAATCGTGCAGTCAGTATCCCCTTGTTTTGTTTGAATGACAGCCTCCTGGTCTCTGTACAGGTTCTTCATGGGTACAGTCAAGTGTTCTGGAGTTCCCATTCTTCTCAATGTTATTCATAATTTGTTATGATCCACACAATCAAATGCTTTTGCATAGTCAATAAAACACAAGTAAACATCTTTCTGGTATTCTGTGCTCTCAGCCAAGATCCATCTGACATCAGCAATGATATCTTTCGTTCCACGTCCTCTTCTGAATCCAGCTTGCATTTCTGGAGGTTCTCTATCGATATACTGCTGCAACTGTTTTTGAATTAGCTTCAGCAAGATTTTACTTGCATGTGATATTAATGATACTGTTTGATAATTTCCACATTCTGTTGGATCACCTTTCTTTGGAATGGCTCCAAATATGTCTTTCTTCCAGTCAGTTGGCCAGGTTGCTGTCTTCTAAATTTCCTGGCATGGACAAGTGAGGGCCTCCAGTATGGTATCCATTTGTTGAAACATCACAATGGGCATTCCATCAATTCCTGGAGCCTTGTTCTTCACCAATTCCTTCAGTGAAGCTTCAGCTTCTTCTTCAATACAATTGGTTCTTGATCATATGCCACCTCCTGAAATGGATGAACATCAGCCAGTTCTTTTTGGTACAGTGACTCTGTGTATTCCTTCCCACTTTTTTTGATGTTTCCTGTATCATTCAATATTTTGCCTTAGAAGCTTTTGATATTATAATCCAAGGCTTGAATTTTTTCCTCAGTTCTTTCAGGTTGAGAAATGCCAAGCATGTTCTTCTCATTTGGTTTTCCAACTTCAGGTCTTTGCACTTCACTATAAGAAATAACTTTGTCTTCTTGAGATGCTCTTTGAAATCTTCTGTTTTCAAAAGATTGAGACTAAAATTTCCCAAACACATGTTTCCAAAACATATGAACAGCTGCCATTTCTTCTCTTCTTGATGACAAAAGTAAATGTTGACCTGTCATGCCAGTGCTGAAACTTGTTAAAATTTTTAGTGCTATACCAACTATTTCTAGACTGCTATAGTAAAATACAGTGTGTTTTAACTGCTGTCTGAATGAAAACATTTATAATCTGTGGTCTAGTACTCATTACCTTTTAGTCACATAAGTGCTCTTTAGGTTCACTCCTTCCTCCTAATTGTATTCTAGAAATTTCCCTTAGAAATGACACCCACAGTTTATGGAGACAAGTACTTTTTGCCTGCCTCTGAAAAACAATGGACACAAGGCAGGAAGCATTTAGTTACTGCCTACCTCTTTTACTATATCCTAATTAAAAAGAGGTAAAATGCTAACCACAAACATGATAGGCTTTTGATAGTTTGAAAATCTTTCAGAGACTTTTAAAAAGAAACTTTTTTAAGTTCTAATTTAATTCAGTAAAACTTCTGGCAGCATGACAATAAGAACTAATTTGTTTTTAGTTACCTTTACTCTGGTTATTTACATAAGTTGAAGACATTTTTCTCCAGGTTTGAACAGGATCTGGCTAGTATATTTATGGATAACAAATAGGTTCTTCTATGTAAGTGAACTACAACATAAATTCATCATTATAAATACAGTAATATTAATGACTTGGTTAAAAAGCTCAGGAAAACCATTTTTGTTTTATCCAAAAGAATGTGTGATAGCTTTAACTATTCTTAAAGTTTTAAGTTTTACTGGAACATGATTATTTTAGTTCTTACAGCAGTATCCTATGTAAACGACGTTAGTGAGTGCTCAACTATGCCTTGAGAGATCCCTCTCATTCAGAATAATTTTGGTTGGCTACCAATTACAGACTTGCCAGACTTTGATTTTCACTAGAAAGATTCCACTTGGGTACATTATAAAAATGGTTTCTTCTACAAGAACAGAGCTAATTAAGGTACTCTCTGAGTAAAGCTTAGCCAAGTTTTATGTCATCATTTTCTAAAATTCCCTTTGACTCAGCTGTTCATAATTATATTAAGCTCAAAAGCTTTCTTTTTATAAAGAAGAAAAAGAGTATTTTCTCATGATACAACAGACAGCTTTTCAATGGTGATGAAAGTCTAACATAATTCAGCAAATATGTTTTATTATTTGCATATCATTTTGGCAACCATTCCCTCATTATACCTAATACTAAAGTGGTTAAAAAAAAACAAAACTTTATAGTATCCTGTAACTAAGAAAACTATCTTATATAAAAGGTATTTCTGGATTGTAGCAACTATAATCCTAATCTCTGTATATATTCCTTTTATCTCAAGATGCAACTCCAGAATTTTTCCCCATCATTTAATGTAGGCATGGAACTACACTACAGATGTTGTCAACTTTTCCATTCCAAATCCCAGTAGGTAATTGATCTTTGTTTCCCTGTTTGGATAAATACATTAATATGTGTCTTAATGGAGATTTATGTGCATATAAATGAAACTACTTTGTAAATTAATAAAATACCTTTACTTATTTCTGTAGCCATGAATCTTGATGAAGCCTACTTGAATATAACAAAGCACTTTATATTATCCCTTTTTAAAATTAACAAAAAGCATCAATAAAAGGTGAAGGAGAGCAGGATCCTTTCATTCCTACTTCTGTTTTTGACAGGACCTCTGGTGGCATAGTGCCTAAGGCATTTGACTGCTCACCAGAAGGCTGGCGGTTCAAACCCACCAGCCACTCCTTGGAAGGAAGGTTGGGCAGTCTACTTCTGTAGTGATACTGTCTTGGAAACCCAAGGAGGGGTTGATATGAGTTAGATCTGACTTGATGATAGTGGCTTTTGACCAGTTACCTAAAATTACATTGTTTAACCACTTTTCCTATGCTAACCAGAATGATGTTGTCGAAGATTTATTTGAATCTCTTACTATATCTAGATAAACAAACAAACAAACAAAAAAAAACAAACCCCTTGCCATCAAGTCAATTCCAACTTTTAGCAAGCCTATAGGAGTGCATCAGGGTTGTATCCTTTCACTGTACTTATTCAATCTGTATGCAGAGCAAATAATCCAAGAAGCTGGACTATATGAAGAAGAATATGGCATCAGGATTAGAGGAAGACTCATTAACAACCTGCAGTATGCAGATGCAGTATGCAGATTTCCTTGCTGAAAGTGAGGATGACTTGAAGCACTTACTGATGAAAATTAAAGATTAAGTCTGCAGTATGGATTATACCTCAACATAAAGAAAACAAAAATCCTCACAGCTGGACTGATAAACAGCATCACAATAAATAGAGAAAAGATTGAAGTTATTAAAGATTTCATATTAGTTGGTGTGGTAAAGTTTGTGTGTCAACTTGGCTGGGCCTAGTTGAGTGGCTGGGCAGCTGAATGTAGTTATTCCCCCTGATGAGATTGGTAATTGACTCTATGATGGAATCTGCTGGATCAGCTGAATAGCTGCTTTAAGGATGTGGTCTCCTTCCAGTATATAAGAAGCAACTTTGAGGAAGGTCTCCAGCTTATGGCCCTCTTGAACCCTGTATGTAGCTGAGTTATTGTTCAGCAGCTTGCCATGCTCTGCTGATCTTGGGACTTTCAGTGGACTTGAATCAATGGCCTGCTATGTGGTTTGGAATATCAGAACTATGCCTTTTCCCTCATTGACCTTGGGTTTGTCAGCCTCAGCAGCCAGCAGCGGCCTGAGTAAAGAGATGCCTCTAGCTTCAGTGGGCCAGGAGCAAGAGGCAGAGCTGAAGCCCAAGGTCAAGGGCTTTCACCCAGCCCCTAGAACCTGGCACTTTGAACTCAGACTTCTAGCCTCCAAAACTGTAAGAGAATAAATTCACGTTTGTTAAAGCCATCCCATTTGTGGTATTTCTTTAGAGCAGCACTAGGTAACCAAAACACTTGGTTCCACAATCAACACCAGTGGAAGCAGCAGTCACATCAGACAATGTATTGCACTAGGCACATGTGCTGCAAAAGAACTCTTTAAAGTGCTGAAGAGCAAAGATGTCTCCTTGAAGACTAGGGTGTACCTAACCCAAGCCATGGTATTTTCACTTGCCTGATACTCATGTGAGAGCTGTACAATAAGCAAGGAAGACCGAAGAAGAGTTGATGCTTTTGAGTTGTGGTGTTGGCAAAGAATACTGAAAGTACCATGGCCTGCCAAAAAGAATGAACAAATCTGTCCCAGAAGACATGCAGCCAGAATGCTCCTTGGAAGTGAGAATGGCCAGACCTCATCTCACCTACTTAAGTTTTACTGAAACATGATTATTTATTCCTTACAGTAGTATCCTATGTAAATGAAGTTAGTGAGTTACTTTGGTCATGTTGTCAGAAGGGACCATTACCTGGAGAAGGGTCAGCAAAAATGGGGAAGGTCCTCAACAACATGGGTTGACACTGGCTGCAATGATGGGCTCAGGTATAGCAAGGACTATGAGGCTGGCACAGGACCAGGCAGTGGTTCGTTATGCTGTGCATAGGGTCGCTATGAGTCGGAGCCAACTCAGTAGAACCTAACAGCAATAACAACATACGGCAGAGTAAAACTGCCCCATTAGATTTTGAAGACTGTAAATATTTAAGGAAGCAGGCTGCCACATCTTTCTCCTGTGACTGTATCTAAATGTGGGTGGCTAAATGAGAGTTGTGTCAAATGAAGCTATGTCATAGTCTTTGCTTTCATGATCTATTTTAATATGAAAGAGAATTTGGACAAATATACTCTGGCCATAAATTATTTATTCCTTCAGTCATGAGCTATTGATTGTAGGATCATTGCTGTAGTTGCTAAGTAAGAATATTAATGTGTTTCTATCCTATATATGACAGAAGGTTTTGCTGTGGCAGCAAAATTTAAACCTTTTCCTTTGTTCCTGCTGAAGGTTAAGGAAATACTTGCTGATTATGATCCCAATTTTATGGCCATGAGTCTTGATGAAGCCTACTTGAATATAACAAAGCACTTACAGGAAAGACAAACTTGGCCTGAGGACAAAAGAAGATATTTCATCAAAACAGGGAACTCTGCAGAAAACGGTAAGCAATTTCTTAGAACTATCAGACTAATAAACAAACAAAAATCTTTAAATTCCAGTTGACTCACTAGCATGCATAAATGGTAGAACTGCATAAACTGAATAATCAAGTTAATTATTTTCCTAAGATCTAACTAGCAAAAGATTGGATTACATTGAAGCTAAGGAATTTATCTGTTTAAAGTGACCATTGTTTTATGAATGGAAATTAAAATTTACAAAGAAAAAAGATTAGCCTCAGCATATCAAAACACTGGGTGATTTATTTTTTGTCTTCATTTCCCAAATATTTTTTTAACTATGGAATAATGTATATTAAAAAATTTGTCATTGTAAATGCTTTTATTTGAATAATTCAGTGAAATTAATTATGTTTGAGATACCACATGGTTTAAAATCAGCAAGGGAGTATGTCAAGGTTGTATCCTTTCACCATAGTTATTCCATCTGTGTGCTGAGCAAATAATCCAAGAAGTTGGCTCATATGAAGAAGAATATAGCCTTAGGGTTAGAGGAAGAGCCATTAACAAACCTGTGATTTGCAGATGACACAGCCTTGCTTGCTGAAAGTGAACATGACTTGAAGCAGTTATGGATGAAGATTATAGACTACAGTCTTCAGTATGCATTACACTTCAATATAAAGAAAACGAAAATCTTGACAACTGGACCAATAAGTAACATTATGATAAGTGGAGAAAAGATTGAAGTTGTCAGGGATTTCATTTTACTTGGATCCACAGTCAATACCCATGGAAGCAGCAGTCAGAAATCAGATGTCACATTGCACTGGGAATACCTGCAAAAGACCTCTTAAAAGTATTAAGAAACAAAGATGTTACTTTGAAGACAGGAACACTAACCCAGCCATGGTATTTGCCATTGTCTCATATGCACGTGAAAGTGGGACAGTAAATAAGGAAGACCAAAGAAGTGTTGATGCTTTTGAATTGGGATGTTGGGGAAGAATACTGAAAATACCTGGGACTGCCAGAAGAATGAAGAAATCTGTCCTTGAAGAGGTGCAGCTGGAATGCTCCTTAGACTTGGAGATGGCTACTGTATTTGTGTTCGGAAGGAAGATGGGACAATCTACTTCTATAGTGATACTGCCTCGGAAACCCAAGGAGGGGTCGCTGTGAGTCGGGTCCGACTCGACAGCACATAACAACAACAACAACAACAACAACAACAACTGTATTTGTGTGTGCTTTAAGAGTGTCCAGGTGTATAATAAGAACTCTGGTAGCGTAGTGCCTAAGGCACCTGACTGCTAACCAGAAGTCTGGTGGTTCAAACCCACCAGCCACTCCTTGGAAGGAAGGTTGGGCAATCTACTTCCATAGTGATACTGCCTCGGAAACCCAAGGAGGGTTCGCTATGAGTTGGGTCCGACTTGAGGGCACATAACAACAATAACAACAACAACAGGTGTATAGTAGAGCTGATAAAGGACAAGGTTGTGGTGACTTCTTGGCCACAGCCAGCTATCCGGAAGGAGTGAGTCATTGGACCTGTGGGCTCAGGACCATGTTTGTAGAGGACCTCAAGCTCAATTGACATGACATACAACACAAAAACATTGGTCTGTATCCTACTTTGGTGAGTAGTGACAGGGATTTTAAAAGCTTGTAAGCGGACATCTAGATGCAACAATGGGTCTCTCCTCAGCCAGAGCAAAGATGGAAGAAAACCGAAGACGCATGGAAACAGTTAGTCCAAGGGACTGGTAGACTATGTGATCCTTAGCCTGTTATGACCATGAGACCAGAACTAGATGCTGCCCGGCTACCACTGTCAGCCACTTAGAGGGAGATCCTGGATAGAGAGGGATAAAAATGTGGAACAAAACCCAAAATCATTAAAAAAAAAAAAAAAGACTAGATTTGCTGGTCTGATAGAGCACCTGGTGAGTCCCCTGAGACTGTGGCCCCTAGCTACCCTTCAAGTGTGGAGTTGAACTTACTCCTGTGTCTTCCAACCAAATAATTGTCATATGGGCTGAACATTTACATCAGGTAGATAGATATACTCCTTGGAGTGATCAATCATGGGAGAACAGAAGGGCAGTGTTTGCACAGGGAGACAGTTCAGGGGGTGGGAGTGTATGTATGGGAAGGACACAGGGAAGAGATAACTACAGGGAAGAAGTGGGAAGAGAATTATTACATTGTGGGGAATTGCAGTCAATGTCATGAGAGAAAATGTGTATGAACTGCAGTATGGAAAATGAATTTGTTCTGGAAACTTTCACCCAAATCACAATAAAACATTTTTTTTTTTTTATTGTTATAAATCATTACACATAAAAAAAAGAAAAAAGAAACAAGAATGGCCAGACTTTGTCTCATCCACTTTGGTCATGTTGTCAGAAGGGACCAGTCCCTGGAGAAGGATATCATGCTTGGTAAAGTAGAGGGTCAGCACAAAGGAAGACCCTCAACGAGATGTACTGACACAGTGGCTACAGGAGTGGGCCCAGCATAGCAAGGATTGTGAGGATGGCACAGGACCAGGCAGTGTTTCATTCTGTTGTATGTAGGGTCGCTATGAGTCAGAACCGACTTGACAGCACCTAGCAACAATTATGTTCACGTATTATACAACCATTACCACTAGCTATTTCTAAATTTTTTCATAACCCTTAATGGAAACTTAAGTAATAACTTCCTCTCCCCTATCCTGGCCCTAGTAACCATTGATAACTTTGGTTTCTATGCATTTGCCTACTCTGGATATTTTACATAATTAGGATCACATAATATTTTCCTTTTTATCTGATTTATTTCACTCAGTATAATGTTTTCAAGTTTCATCCATGTCATAGCATGTATCAGAACTTCCTTTCTCTTGTTGGCTGAATATTTCATTGTGTGGATATATTATAATTTGTTTATACATTCATCTGTTTTTGTATATTTGCCTTTTTCTGCCTTTTGGCTATTGTGGATAGTGCTGAAATGAAGATTGTTGTTGTTGTTGTTACATGCCGTGAAGTCAGACTTGACTCATAGTGACCTCTCCTTCGGTTTCTGAGGCGGTATCACTATGGAAGTAGATTGCCAAACCTACCTTCCGAGGAGTGGCTGGTGGGAAATAAAGATTGGGATATATATATATCTGTTTTGAGACTCTGCTTTCAGGTCTCTTGGGTATATACATAGGAGTAGATTTGTTGGATCATATGGTGACTCTGGTAGCATAGTGCCTAAGGCACTTGACTGCTAACCAGAAGGCTGGTGGTTCAAACCCACCAGCCACTCCTCGGAAGGAAGGTTGGGCAATCCTACTTCCATAGTGATACTGCCTCGGAAACCCAAGGAGGGGTCGCTATGAGTCGGGGCCAACTCGACGGCAAATAATAACAACAACAACATGGTGACTCTGTGTCTTACTTTTGGAAGAACTGTCAAACTTTTCCACAGCAACTGCATCATTTTATATTCTCACCAACAATGCACAAGGGTTTCAATTTCTGCACATCCTTGCCAACACTTACTATTTTCTGTTTTCCTAACAATAGCCATTCTAGTAGGTGTGAAGTGGTATCTCACTGGGGTTTTGATTTGCATTGTCGTGATGATTGATGGCATGAGTCACATCTTTTCATGTGCTAATTGGCAAAATATGTATTCAGGTCCTTTGCCCACTTTTTTATTGGATTGTCTTTTTATTCAGTTGTATGAGTATTTTATATAATCTGGATATTAACCCCTTATAAGATATATGTTTCCCACATATTTTCTGTCATTTCGAAGTTTTTCTCTTTACTTTGTTGATGAAGCCCTTTGATGCACAAAGTTTTTTATTGTGATGAAGTCCAATTTATCTATTTTATATTTTGTTGCTTCTGCTTTTTGTTTGAGATCTATGAGTTCATTGTTGAACAAAAGGCCCTGAAGCATTACCCCTATATATTTTGTTCTAAGAGTTTTATGGTTTTTGTTATTACTTTTAGGTCATTGATCCATTTAGAGTTAATTTTTGTATATGGTATGAGATATGGACTGAGTTTCATTCTTTCATATGTGGAAATCCAGCTGTCCTCCAGAATTTTTATAATCTGTTTATTGCAGTGATTATAACTATTTTCAACCCTGCCAAAATTAACGACTCTTCAGCTTCCTTCTTTGGCTTTTTTTTTTTCTTTTACATACAATGAATTTGAAGTCTCCTGACCCACAGGGTGTTTCAATCTGTTCTTTTATTACCTATCCAAAGCAATGCCAAGAAGCATGAATATATTACACACACTGCATTCAGCCTCTGTGAAAGGTATGATAACTTCCAGTGTCTGAGCTGTCCTGGACCCCTGAGCACAATTTACTTGGACAAAAAGGTAGATACAGAGGCATTTGCTCACAGCCCACAGGCAAGATTCATGCACAACTCAATGACTGCTTTAGAGGGGACAGGCAATAGTGGTGTTACTTATTTGTAACGTCTCCTGATGCAAAAATGGTGGGTCTACAAGAGTATACAATTCTAACTCTCACATTGTTGGGGTCTCACATCATTTGGAGCAAGTTTAAGATGGACATCTAATCACAACTTTATTATCTCATATAAAGCCTTAGCAGGTAGGTCTCTCTGTTCTCTAAGAGAAACATTGAACAACATAATTTCTGGACACAGAGGCTTGGAGCAAGAGGCTTTTCTTTCTTGGTGTAACGTTATTTTCTGGGAAAGGAGCACACAGACCCTGATACCACTTTGCTTAAAATCTCACTTTGTTAGTTTCTTTTTTTGTCCAAGAGAAGGAAAATCATTAAATGGCTATGTCATAGCATCTACTGAGAGTCTCCATAATAATAATAACTTTTGTGATATACATATTAATTGTGACTAAGATAAATGATTTTATTCTCTAATAGTGATCTTTCCATTTATTATAATGTATTCAAACTTACTATGAGGATGCAAATCTTTAATATCTGTTACTCTTAAAGTATTTATATGTGTATTTTCCTCTTCATGTATGAGTAGTTTAACTTTTTCTCA